CACGTCAGGCTGCTGATTGACAGGCTGCTGATTGACAGGCTGCTGATTGACAGGCTGCTGATTGACAGGCTGCTGATTGACAGGCTGCTGATTGACGATCTTTTGTTCAATACGTTTAAATAAAAGGACAATAAGAGCTGAGTGGCGTGAGCACGAAGAGACCTCTCAGCCTTCAGGAGCTTTTAAAGGACATTTGGGAATTACATTTCCACACTTTGTAAAGTCATCCAGGTAGAAGCTCTCGCACCTGCTGAGTGCTGCTGGAGTGAAGCGTGAATATATATCATTAGGGACAGAACGGAGGGTCTCACAGAGTCTCTGCAGGATGATGATCAGAGGAGAAAGGATGTCTCTGACAGAAGACCCTCACTCTCCACAGAGCGACGCCTGCAGGGCCTAGCAGCAGCAGGAGCTACCGTTAGCGCTCCTGGTGAGAAGAGGGGGAACACTCTGCAATGAGAGATGAAGGGAGGAGGCGGTTCATCGTCTCTTTTATAGCAGAACCAGGTTATTTCAGATGAAGGGAGACTCCAGCCCCCCCCCCCCCCCCCAAAATAAAACCTGCATATAATGTGTTCAGAGAGGAGCATTTGCATAAAGATAAAAGTGAGTTTAATATTGTAAATTACCTTTTATGACAATCAGGAAGATTGGGTTTTAATCTCTCAATAAACGTCTCGCTGTGTGTCTTCTCTGGAGTGTGAGGGGGAGGAGCAGAGTGTGTGTGTGTGTGTGTGTGTGTGTGTGTGTGTGTGTGTGTGTGTGTGTGTGGAGAGATATCACACAGGAAAAGGTTCCCAATTCGTTTTGCTGCCTCGCCTTTAATTAATAGATTATGTACACGTGCACACACTCCTGTCAGTCTCTCAGAGCTCCCATTACCACTGTGACCTCACACACACACACACACACACACACACACACACACACACACACACACACACACACACACACACACACACACACACACACACACACACACACACACACACACACACACACACACACACACACACGTAGATGAAATGTACCTTGATATATCCATAGTGTTAAGTGGAAAACATTTCTGAAATGTGTGTGTGTCTGTGTGTGTGTGTGTCTGTGTGTGTGTCTGTGTGTGTGTCTGTATGTGTGTGTGTCTGTGTGTGTCTGTATGTGTGTGTCTGTGTGTGTGTGTGTGTGTGTGTGTGTGTGTAGCAGAGGTGGATCTCCTCAGTGAAGCTGACCATAAAGAGGGGGGGGGGATGCTGATGGAACAGAGATAATAAACAGACACTCGGGGTCTTTCTGATCTGAATGTCCAGCGGCGACACTTGAGATGAACGGAGCATGTCTTAAATTACCATGTAATAAAAACTGTAGCTCAGAAAGTGATATAGAGAAACAGCAGCTTAATGGAGCCAGACAGACGTGGGGGGGGGGGGGCTGTTATATTCTGCCGTGTGTGACAAATCCCATCAGAGGGGAGATGGAGGAGCGATCATCTTTACTGCAGAGAGACTTCTCTCCGTCTCTCTGCAGAAACACAGCTCTCTGATACACACTTCATTAATAACATGTTCCCTTCACTGATTGGACCCTGAGATCAGAGCAGGGACCCTGAGATCAGAGCAGGGACCCTGAGATCAGAGCAGGGACCCTGAGATCAGAGCAGGGACCCTGAGATCAGAGCAGGGACCCTGAGACCAGAGCAGGGACCCTGAGACCAGAGCAGGGACCCTGAGATCAGAGCAGGGACCCTGAGATCAGAGCAGGGACCCTGAGATCAGAGCAGGGACCCTGAGATCAGAGCAGGGACCCTGAGATCAGAGCAGGGACCCTGAGATCAGAGCAGGGACGCTCCACGACGCCGTAAGGGAAACGTAGAAACAGACCCCGCAAACGACAACGGGTCCAAAGGTGGATAGATCTGGGAACGGAGCGCTCTGGGGGGTCCAACGGGGCCGTGGAGTTGCCTATACGGTCATTCGTTTCATAGCCCCGCCTCTCCCTGCCTCTCCCCCGCGGGGTTGCTATCGTGCTCCAGTCGCTACTGACCATGCTACAGTTCTTTGGGCAACATCTACAGGAGCTCCTCCTTGAATTCAGATTATTGATCTTTCTCTCGATATGGACATAAACGCGAGTGAAGTCTAATCTGACAGGACGGAGACACGCAGCTCCTCCCGCTGTGATGCAGCGAGAGTCACACACTTCAAGTCAGATCATCACCCTTAGCTATTTTAATTACCTCTCAAACTCAGTGGCGAGCCGTGAGCTTTATACCTAGGCCCTCTGACCCCCACCCCTTCCCTCGAAAAAAAAAAGAGTTATTACGTCACAGCGTATACTTCAGCGGAATATCAAAACAACGGCCCAGGGTGCAAAACGCATCAATGACAGCGACCCTCTACCACACAAAACAACACCTGTGAACCCAATTTGTGTTCTTTGACATTGAAAATGATATTGCATTGTGTTTGTTACTTTCGTTGCAGTTGTATGTCTTAAGTGTAATTTGGCATGCTTTTATTTTGAAGGCGAGTTCACGCTGTTGACAGGAAGTTGTTGTTGCTATGGAAACAAGAAAAGTTTCATAGCGGGCGGAACTTGTCATCTAGTCCGCGATAATAAAACCCACCCATTTAGAGGGAAGATATGATTGGTCAATTGTACTGTCATTTGACATTACTCTCTCGTTCAGTTACTATAGCGGGCCCTCTGTGAATCGCAGAGAGGGCCAGACGAGCTTCTTTCATGTAACCCACATTCAAACAGAGACTGAACAGGCAGATTCGAAGGATTTATTTATTTGGAAATGTTATTTTATTAAATCAAGTTTTTTTTCGGTAAAACTAATGAAAAATATAACAAAAATAATATTCAAAAAATATATATTTAAATCTTTTTTTTTTTTTTTAATGTTTTTAAATATTATTTTTTGGAATATCTTAGGCCCTCACAGAGGGCCTAGAGGGCCCTGACGGCTCGCCACTGCTCAAACTAAACTAGTTATAAATATGTTCATTTGTACTGTCGGGTCACTCATTACTGGATCAGCTGCTGCATGAGACAGACACTGACACTGTGAGAAGAGAGGGAAAAGAGACAGGCTCTGTGTATTTTATTATTATATATCATTATATAGAGTCGTTATTCATTTGTTTTAAAGCTCAATAAATAACAAAGAAGACCTTTGATCGGCACTTTTATCATTTTGTCCGGAAGATTTAAACGTTAACACACGTTGACCGGCGAAAAACTCTGCCCGGTTCCCTTGACCCCCACCGCGGAGAATACACACAAGTGCAGCCATGACAACCATTCTTCTTCGCTGCTTTTGTGGAGGAAGTTACAGCGCCACGTACAGGTTCGGCATATGTACTGCAGCTTTTCCAGCGGTTGGATGTAAACGGAGCTGCCTCGTGGAGCTTGACACAATCCGGTGTATATTGCGTGGGGGCGGAAGGTTTTTTGCGGTTGCATTTGCGTTACTCCGATGCGTTTTGCCGTATTTGTCCTCGTGGAGCCGGGGCCTAAGATCAGAGCAGGGACCCCGAGATCAGAGCAGGGACCCCGAGACCAGAGCAGGGACCCCGAGACCAGAGCAGGGACCCCGAGAGCAGAGCAGGGACCCCGAGATCAGAGCAGGGACCCCGAGATCAGAGCAGGGACCCCGAGATCATAGCAGGGACCCCGAGACCAGAGCAGGGACCCCGAGATCAGAGCAGGGACCCCGAGATCAGAGCAGGGACCCCGAGATCAGAGCAGGGACCCCGAGACCAGAGCAGGGACCCCGAGACCAGAGCAGGGACCCCGAGATCAGAGCAGGGACCCCGAGATCAGAGCAGGGACCCCGAGACCAGAGCAGGGACCCCGAGACCAGAGCAGGGACCCCGAGATCAGAGCAGGGACCCCGAGATCAGAGCAGGGACCCCGAGATCAGAGCAGGGACCCCGAGACCAGAGCAGGGACCCCGAGATCAGAGCAGGGACCCCGAGATCAGAGCAGGGACCCCGAGATCAGAGCAGGGACCCTGAGACCAGAGCAGGGACCCTGAGATCAGAGCAGGGACCCCACCCTATAAAGGGACTAAAGCAGATTTTACTATGACATTTGTAAATGTCCTTATTTTTCCACATCCTGTATTTATATATAGTATTGTTCATATTATATTAAATCATATTTGTATTATTTCATTTTTAATTCATTTTAATAAATGTCAATGTTTTCTATGATTAAAAAAACCTGTTTTTATTGTTTATGACGTACTTTAAAATGAAATCATATTTGTTACAGCTTCCTCTTCATCATCATCATGTGGCGCCACACTGAAGGAGGGGGGGGGGGGCATTAAAAACACAGACAGAAAGACTGAGAGACGAGAACACAAGATCAATACTGCCATTATCAGTCACACTGCCTGCAGACCTGTGTGTGTGTGTGTGTGTGTGTGTGTGTTTCTGTGTGTGTGTGTGTGTGTGTGTGTTTCTGTGTGTGTGTGTGTGTGTGTGTGTGTTGTCTGTGTGTGTGTGTGTGTTTCTGTGTGTGTGTGTGTGTGTGTGTAAAGGATGCATTTCATGCTCTGAACCTGCTGAATATCAGCGGCAGAGAAACAGTTATTAGTTTTTCCTGAATGACATTTATTTCCCGAGGTGTTATTGGGACTCCCTGCAGTTTAATGTTCCCCGACGCTGACAGGAAGCTGTTGGCTGCACACACACACACACACACACACACACACATCATCTGTGTGTGTGTGTGTGTGTGTGTGTTTCTGTGTGTGTGTGTGTATGTGTGTGTGTGTGTGTCTGTGTGTGTACATGGTGTTTCTGTGTGTGTGTGTGTGTGTGTGTGTGTGTGTGTGTGTGTGTACATGGTGTTTCTGTGTGTGTTTCTGTGTGTGTGTGTAAGTGATGAAGGAGAGAGGAGACAGATTAGGAAACTCCCGAAGGAGAGAGGAGACATCAGAGGAGACATCAGAGGAGTCTGGAGAGGCTTCAGAGAGAGAGAGACGGAGGTGAGAGCTACAGAATCTTTTATTAAGCATGCTACAGAAACAGAGAGGAAACAACTCTCCTCTCATCTCAGGTAGAAAACAGAAACACTTCATTAACACACGGGGGTCCTGGGGTCTCTCCTTTGGGGGGTCTTTCCTTTGGGGGGTCTCTCCTTTGGGGGGTCTTTCCTTTTGGGGTCTTTCCAATTGGAGGAGTCTCTCCTTTGGGGGTCTTTCCTTTTGGGGTCTTTCCAGTGGGAGGAGTCTCTCCTTTTGGGGGTCTTTCCTTTGGGGGTCTCTCCTTTGGGGGGGTCTTTCCAGTGGGGGTCTCTCCTTTGGGGGTCTCTCCTTTTGGGGGTCTTTCCAGTGGGAGGAGTCTCTCCTTTGGGGGTCTCTCCTTTTGGGGGTCTTTCCTTTGGGGGTCTTTCCAGTGGGAGGAGTCTCTCCTTTCGGGGTCTCTCCTTTTGGGGGTCTTTCCGGTGGGAGGAGTCTCTCCTTTCCAGTGGGAGGAGCCTCTCTTTTGGGGGTCTTTCCACTGGGAGGAGTCTCTCTTTTGGGGGTCTTTCAAGTGGGAGGAGTCTCTCTTTTGGGGGTCTTTCCAGTGGGAGGAGTCTCTCCTTTGGGAGTTTCTCCATGGGGTCTCTGGGGGGAACACAGAGGAGCTCTCCCAGTTCTTAGAAACCACAGGAAGTCACAGGAAACCACAGGAGGTCGTCTTCATGCATCACTTCCTGTCACCTGCATGCCGACGCCACACACACACACACACCGCTATGGAAAGGCTTCGGAAACACGGATACTGACGGACCGGTGGAATAAGAGTCAGGGATATTCCCCTGCTCAGAAACTAAAGAAGAAGAAGTGATGGATCTAAACAAAAAACCCAATACCGATGTGCCTGAAAGCATAGGGGGGCCGAGGGGGGCATAGGGGGGCCGAGGAGTAGAAACAGGGACACATCCATAAGGCACATGAGTATCTTTAACAGAGAAACATCAAACTGCAGAGCGTCCATCAGTCTCTGGAGGAATGGTCGGTCGAGGGTTAGATGGTGGACTTGGAGAAGGACACCCTGAGGTGCTGGCTGCCCCCCATGTTGTAGTTGTGAAGGTCGATCAGAGCCTGAATGGCCTCCTCCACCGTGGACATCTGGATCAGAGCCATCTTACGGTCCCTGGAGCAAGAACACACAGTGAGCCATGCTATATGTTATATGCTATATAAACACAACTTATAAAGTCAAGCTAACCACAGGAGACAACAAGGAGCACT